TTCGGGACTTGATCTTCAACCATATTTCCCATTTTTTTCCCCAGGACTTCCCCATACTATGTCAGACGTGTCTTGGAGAAAACCCTTATATACGAATGGTGAGTGCTTGCCTGTGCGGCGGGAATTAACTGTACAATACATTGTGGTCCTTGCATGCTGATAGTAAAGTGTTTCTCTTGGCCGTTAGAAGAATTGATGCTCTTTTACTAGCCCGCAGTACAGGACAACTTGCAAGGTAATGCCATCCGTAGTCCTCTCCTAGACCCTGAGCAATAATACTGTAATGTAGGAGCTGTAACATAACAGCTAATACTTGTTGAGCATCTACCTAGAAAGTAGGTCTGTTGATGGGAGAGTATACCTTTTTGGGTTTTCGAGACAGGGTTTCTCTGTACCTTTTGGAGGTTATCCTGGAACGAGCTCAGACCTGGTTGGCCGTGAACTCAACAGAAATACGTCTGGGCCTCTTGAAAGCTGGGATTAAAGGCATGTGCCGCCACCATCAGGAGATTATTGTCTTAAATCCCAGCCTTTAAGCTAGTGGATCTCTGTGAGTTCAGGCCATTCAGTACTGGGATTAAAGGCGTGGGCCAGCAACGCCCAGCTGATTTTTTTTTTTTTTTTAGTTATTTATCTAGGTTATCATACAAAGTAATGGGTTTCATTTTGTCATTTTTCATACATATGTCATACTTTGTTTTCAATTATTTCCTCTTCCACTGCCCTCTACTTTTCTTCCTGCCCCTTTCTGGCTAGTTTTCTTATTTCCCCCAGTTGACTGTTCTTTCTTTTACTGGGAGTGGTTTGAGACAGGGTTCTCTGTATCTTTGAAGCCTGTCCTGGAACTCACTCTGTAGACTAGGCTGACCTCAAACTCACAGTATCACAGTGATCTGCCAGTCTGCCTCCCAACGCTGGGATTAAAGGCATGTACCACCACTGCCCAACAGGATCCTTTTTCTAGGTTCATAATCTACACACACACACAGCACAATTTGAACGCTAGGCTCCATGTGTAAGAGAAAATATGGTGTTTCCATTAGGATTTTTAGTTCTTGAGAGCCAGAAGTAAATATAAGATACTTGAGAAGTATCTGAGAAGATACTTGCTTGGCCCATGTACTCTTCCAAGAATATGACCTTGTTGGTATATCTGTCTTAATTCCATTTCTCTTGCTTATGATAAAAGACCCTGACACAAACAGCTTAGGAGAGGATTTATTTGCCTTACAGTTCATAGTTACAGTCCATCATTGTGGGGTAGTCAGACAACAGGAACTTGAAGCAACTGGTCACATTATATTCGAGTCAAGAGCAGAGAATGAACACATGTGTACATGCTAGTGCTAAGCCACTTCTTTGGTTCAGGGTCCGAAATCTGGGAATGGTGCAGCCCACAATCAGGCTGGATCTTACCACATCAACTATAGAAATGAAGATAGATTCCAGAGACATGCCCACAGGCTGATGTGGTCTAGATAGCTCATTCTAGGTTATGTCAAGTTGACAATCAGATCTAACCTTTACATTATTTCTTATCGTATCCCCCAACTAAAAGATGATTTCAGTTTGGTTTGATTACCTTTATTGGCAGTGCTAGGGATCTCCAGACACATAGCATGTTTTGTACTTAGGGGTAAAAAACAGACACTTGGGTAAGTTTCTTTGGTTGTGTTTTCTCTGCTGTAATTCCAGTTCTTTTCTATTTCAGACCAAAGAAAAATACGGAAAAGAATGCAAAGTAAGTGTGCCTATTAAGAAGTAGCTATTTCATTTTCTTTATCCCTTTTCTTCCCTTTATTCTACCAAATTGGCTTTGTACTTACTAAGTTTTGAGGTCCTTGCAGTAGAGTTCATGCTCACAGCTTTCATGTGTTATTGATATATTCAGTGGCTGACAACTAATATGGGAAATAAGAAAGGGACACTTTCTAATGTAGATTCATAAGCAGGTTTCTGAGTCTGCACTGATGACCATGAGTCTGTGTGCCCAGTGTTGTTTGACTACACAGCATTTCACCTAAGGAGGAGGGTTGGGGCTGTCACGGTATTCTCAAAGACATATTTTCTGCTTCGCTTTCCCTGTTCCTCACCAAAAAGATAGTCTGATTTTTTATGTTTGCCTTTAGGTAGGAGGACTTGACTTTCTGAATATTTACTTTTGTACTTTGTGAGCTTTTTAACTCCTAGAAAAGAGAAAATAAATGGAATTGAGGGTTAGCTGACATATACATTAGGTGGTTGCTAAAGTCAACTCGCTATACTTAGTAAATCCAGATTGAGTGCGGTCAGGACCATTAACATTCTGTGGTTCTTGGTGTGTGTTCAGATCTGTGCCAGACCATTCACAGTGTTTCGTTGGTGCCCCGGGGTCCGCATGCGCTTCAAGAAGACTGAAGTGTGTCAAACCTGCAGTAAATTGAAGAATGTTTGTCAGACCTGCCTATTAGACCTAGAGTATGGTATGTTTGCCACATCCACTAGACTTGAAAGTGTATAAGTAACCTGAACAAGACACCAGCCTGATGTCTCCCACTCCTTCCCCATCTCTGGTTCTGATCCCACCATAGAATGTCCGATGTGATCTGCTTTTCCCAGGCATAAATTCACAGTTAGCCTGCTGTGAAGTCCTATTGAGCAGTAGTAGGAACTTCAGGAACAATTGGGAAGAAATCACAACTAAAGTCCCAACCAGAAGTTCCTGGGCTAATTATGCTGTGGACTTTTGTTTCAGCCATACTGTTAGGACTGGGCATTGCTACTATTTCAAAAACAATCTGCTTCTAGGACATTTTTTTTTTATGTAAATGTTACTTTCCTTTCCAAAAAAAAGTGATCTACCAGCAAGGAAAAGTAAGAGAGAGAGAGAGAGAGAGAGAGAGAGAGAGAGAGAGTGTGAGTGTTCTGGCTACATATTGTTTAATATTATTCATGTTTGTCAGGAGCACTCAGGCCTGGAGTACAGTGACCCTTTAATGTAATGCTATCCATAGGTCCTTTGAGACCAATTTAACAATAAACCATTGTGTTATGTGGATTTTAAGTAAATTTGGTAAAGCTAGATACCAAACTTATTTGGCAGTGGCTAAAGTCTATTCTTTGAAATGATTTTCTAAAACATTCACCTCACCAAACTCCTTGACAGCACAGGAATTTGGACAGTTTCTTAGGATGGTATATAGCAGTCATTAGCCTGATGGTGCTAAACAGTTTGGTTTTAAAATATTGTAAGCTGTCACCAAATGGGTGGATGATCTCTGTGGGGGTGGAGTGCACATGTGAGTGCAGGGCAGAGTCCAGAAAAGAGTGTCAGCTTCTGGAGCCGGGGTTACAGCGAACCACCCTGCATGGTTATAAGCAACTGCACTCTGGTCCTGTGCAGGGACAGTATGTACTCTGAACCACTGGACCATCTCTCTCACCCCCACCAAGTAGGAAAGAGAGGGAAGGATGATGTTGTAGTTTATGTACCTATTCAGTGTGAATGTATTTTCAAATCTATATGATGTTTTTTTCCTCCATTTCTTTGTAACAGGCCTACCCATCCAAGTTCGTGATGCAGGATTGTCATTTAAAGATGACATGCCCAAATCAGATGTCAACAAAGAATATTACACACAAAATATGGAAAGAGAAGTATGTTTTTTTATTTTAACTAAAATAAAATTCTATCACTTCCTCTTTCTAACCCCTCCGGTGTCTTCTCCCTCCAACCCCTCCCAACACCCCCATTGATAGCCTCTTTTTCTTTGATTATTATTGTTTATGTGTGTATGTACTTCAGTGTGCAAACATAAATACAGCCTGCTAAGTCCATTTAATGTGGCTTATGTGCATATGAGTTCAAGGCTGACCACTTTGTACTGGATAACTTAAGGGGCTCATCCCCAGAAGAGACTCTGTCTCAGCAGTCATTAGTTGCTTGTAGTTCTGTAGTTCTTTGTCTAAGGATGGAACCTATGAGATTTCCTCTTTTTGAATTAGTAGTTTTTTTGGTTTTTGTTTTTGTTTTTTTTTTTTTTTTTTTTTTTTTTTTTTTTTGAGACTGGGTTTCTCTGTAGCCTGGGCTATCCTGGAACTCACTCTGTCGACCAGGGTGGCCTTGAACTCACAGCTTAGCCTGCCTCTCCCCAAGTACTAGCGTTAAAGGCATGTTCCTTTACACACACCCTCATATTAGTATATTTGTTACTCATGTCTTTATTTAGGCAGCTATATTGTTGGGATATCATGGATGTAGCTTCCATTTCATTTGTTTTTATTTTTGTTTTTTTTACCCAATGCCATTTCTAGGAAACACAATCTTACACTAGACTTTCTGGTCCTGTGGCCACTTTCTTTTTCTTGGGGGAGGAGGGAGAGTTCTCTGTATCTTTGGAGGCTGTCCTAGAACCAGGCTCATCTCCAACTCAGAGATCCGCCTGCCTCTGCCTCCTGAGTGCTGGGATATGTGGTGCTAAGAATTGAATCCAGGGCCTTGTGATTGATGTAGTTTTGTATTTGATAAAAATCCTAATGAATTGATAGCCTATAAAATTATCTCTTCATGCAGATTTCTAACTCTGATGGAACACGACCAGTTGGCATGCTGGGAAAAGCTACATCTACCAGTGACATGCTGCTCAAATTGGCCCGGACCACACCATACTACAAAAGGAATCGGCCTCACATTTGTTCCTTCTGGGTGAAAGGAGAATGTAAGAGAGGAGAGGAGTGTCCATACAGGTAAGAACTGAGCCTCACTTCCTATATTTTCTTTCCAACAGCTGATTAGTGGGAGACTCTAGCTTAAACTCATGCTTTAGCATCTAAAGCTCTTATGGACTGGTTTGCATGTAGAGTATTTTACAGGAGCCTAGCTAAATTATATTTTCTCCTTAATGACTAAGAGAAACTAAATTGCTATGTCATATAATGTACATGCTGACCTTGAAGTTTCTAAGATAATTTAGTGTCATCGTTTAAGTTGTTTGAGTAGCAAAATATAGTTAAAAAGTCAAAATAAGATCAGACTTCTGCAGGCTACTTTTGTTTCAGCCAATACTACCAAACAGCAGAAATTGGGGGTTCCAGCTAATGATTTGTTAGCTATAAATCTCCCCACTCCCCCAAATATATGGCCTTTTTCTGAGGTAAAGTCCATAGCTTTAATCAGATTCCATTACAACAAATATAAGTGGATTACTTAGATGATTAGGAAGTCTTTGTGTGGTATAGTAATCCCTTGGTATTTGTTTTTGTTTAGTAACAGTATTTTTGTATAGACATGGTTTCTAGTTTGAAAAGCATTTAAGTAGCTCCTGTAGAGTCATCATTTTTCCGTTCATTTCAACTTTGTGCTTTTTCATTTGTGAATCTCAGACACGAGAAGCCTACCGATCCAGATGACCCCCTTGCTGATCAGAATATAAAAGACCGGTACTATGGAATTAATGACCCTGTAGCCGATAAGCTTCTAAAGCGGGCTTCAACTATGCCTCGTCTAGACCCACCAGAGGATAAGACCATCACCACTCTTTATGTGGGTGGTCTGGGAGACACCATTACTGAAACAGATCTCAGGTTTGTGGGCATCATTTCAGAACTCTCCTTGCTTTTAACTGCATTGAAATAAATAGTTTGCAAAAAGCACCACCAAATATAATTCTAAGTCAGGTTCATTTTTAAGCCATCCTATCATTGATTTGAATGCTGACTGAAAGTTTTATAAAATTCTTTTTTGTTGTTTTTTTGTTTTTCAAGACAGGATTTCTCTGTATAACAGCTCTGGCTGTCCTAGTTCTGTAGACCAGGCTGGCCTCAGAGATCCGCCTGTCTCTGCCTACCAAGTGCTGGGATTAAAGGTGTGTGCCACCACCGCCCAGCTAAAATTCTTTTTTATGATGCCAATATAGTTGCATTTCTCAAGAGTGATTTTTCATCTTTGTATCAGAAAATAAAATATGGGCCTAGTGGTCAATTTGGATTCTTTTTGTTTAATTACTGTGTGATGTATGTGTAGGCTTGTGCAAGTGGTGGCTGCGAGTACCCAAAGAGACCATAGGTGTTAGAGCATCCTAGAGCTGGAGTTACAGGTATTTGAGCCACTCTCCATGGGTACTGGAAATCAAACTTAGTCCTTTCCAAGAGCAGCATGTTCTCTTAACTGCTGAGCCATCTCTCCAGCCCCTAGTTTGAATTCTTAAAGGATGAAAACACATGCATACGCATCCAATTGTTATGAAGGGTAGTGAGCACTGTGACTCTGAAACTTTTTTGGTTTAATTATTGCTTTTTTAGCAAAGATTCTGATTTAATTTGTATTTCTGGCTTAGTCTGTGCTTGACTAGATGAGATATCTTTTCCAGTGAAATGATGTAGAGAAGAAACTCCTGACCTTGGTATCTGTCTCTGTCAAACCCTATCTCATTGAGCTAGTAATCTCCAGGACCAGCTAGCTTTTTATAAAAGGACTAGAGAAAATACTTTGGTTCAGTGGGGTGCCTGTGATCTCTTCTGAATATTGCTCCTTTTTTGTTCATTTAGGGCTTTTGATACAGAGTTTCCTACAGTTCAGCCTAGCCTGGAGAACTTAAATGACCTTAAACTCCTGATCCTCTTGCCTCCACCTCCTGAGTACTAGGATGATAAATATTAGCCACCAGATCTGACTTGTTTTGTTTGATTCATTTATTTATCTGTCTATCTATATATCTATATATCTATTTATTTACGGTTGTTAGACAGGGTCTTGTCTTGTAGCTTAGAGGCATGAAACTCAAGATCTTCCCTTCTCTCTGGTACTAGGATCTGTGCATGGGCCACCACGCCTGGCTTTCTACTTTGTCTTCCACTTTCTTCCTTCTTTCAGTTTTAAGCATTTTTTTATTTATTTCATTCAATATTTGTATTCATTTATTTTTCCAGTGCTAGGAATTGAACTGAGGGCCTCACACATACTAGACAAGTGCCATTGAGCCACACAGTCCTCAACCCTTAAACATTTTTTGAAGCATTCTTGGTTCATGGCTGGGCATGGTAGCATTTGCTTACAGTCCCAGCAGAGGCAGAAAGATCAGTTGACCCCATGAGTTCAAAATTAACCTGTGTAACATGACAAGGCTCCATCTTAAGTGAAAATAGTCTTAACTCACAGACCATAATAGCTGTAGTTTGTCAGTGCCTTATACTAGGAGTGGAAAGTATGGCTCTTAAGTCACCAAGTAAAACCCGTCCCCTCCTCCACAAGAACAATCCAGAGATACATGAGAGCTCTTTTTAATTTTCCTTTATCTCCAAGAAGTAGCACCTGCATTAGGGCCAGGTACAAGGAAAACCTAAAGACAGGCATATGTCCATGGGGCCACCTGTTTAGTTCGTAGGCCATTTCTGTTTTAAGAGGCAGTGTCTGGGTTGCTAACCTGTTTTCCTTGGCCTGTGTTCCTTCAGAAATCACTTCTACCAGTTCGGCGAGATCCGAACAATCACTGTTGTGCAGAGGCAGCAGTGTGCCTTTATCCAGTTTGCCACCAGGCAGGCTGCTGAGGTGGCTGCTGAGAAGTCCTTTAACAAGCTCATCGTGAATGGCCGCAGACTCAATGTGAAATGGGGAAGGTATGAACAAGACTGTTCTAAACTGTTTTCATCTGGATGCAAAAGCCTTGGATAAACAGGTTTGACAGGGCCTGATCCTTCTCTAGTGTTTATATTTTAGTTTATGTGTATAGATGTTTTGAATACATGTATGTCTGCACCACTTGTGTGCTTGGTGCCAGAAGAGGGTGTTGGATCTCCTAGGACTGGAGTTATAGATATTTATGAGTCACCATGTGGGTGCTGGGAATTGAACCAGTGTCCTTTAAAGAGCACCCATCGCTCTTAACGGCTGAGCCATCCCTCCATCCCCCTTCTTTAGTATTTGATTTCTGTGACTGTTGGAAGCATCTTACTTTAGAAATGTTTTTAAGGTCTTGCTCTGATAACCTGCTCCTTTGGAGTTCATGTTTTTCCAGCCACTATGATCCAAGCATAATGCCAGATTGCCAAAGGAAGATGTTGAGGGTTTCAGTTGATTGACCTAGGTTGTCCCCTCCAGCCTGAGCTGGAGAAGTGAGGAAAGGGATAAACAGAAGAATAAATGTTTTAAGATTGAAATTGACTGCATAAGAGGGATAAATAATATCTTGGAAGCAGAGAGGAGTACGCTGATAGCAGCTCCCTTGGTGGAGTGCTTTCTGTATGCTGGGCACTCTCTGCGCACATGAAAGTTGTCTTCTCTAGCAGTGACAGTGGTTTTGGTTTGGGTTTTTTGAGACAATGTTTCTCTATGTAGCCCTGGCTGTTCTGGAACTCACTAGACCAGGCTGTCTTGGAACTCATAAAAATCTGCCTTCTATCTCCTAAATGCTGGGATTAAAGGTGTGGGCCACCTTGTCTGGCCAATGACAGTTTTGAACCCAGATATTTCCACCTTCAAAAAACCTTGCTTTCAACCACTTTACACTTTGTCATCTCTGGGAAAAGAATGTTTGCTAAAAGGGGAAGGAGTGGTGGAACTCGATTTTACTGGGGAGTGAGTTAAGCAGTGGTGTTAAAGTGCTGATCTCCTGTGCATGTATGTCTCCAGATCCCAAGCAGCCAGAGGCAAAGAAAAGGAGAAGGATGGAACCACAGACTCTGGGATCAAGCTAGAGCCTGTACCAGGACTTCCTGGGGGTAAGTGCAAACTTCTTGCTGATAGAAACTCCAGTCGGCTGGGGTTTCTCAGTTAGAAGAGGCCAGACTCTGTCAGCTGTGCAACAAACCCAGGATATAATCGGTGGAAATACGGTATTGATTGTCTTCCCTTCTAAGTGTCTTTTTCCTCTCCAGCTCTACCTCCTCCTCCTGCTGCAGAAGAGGAGGCATCTGCCAACTACTTCAACCTGCCCCCAAGTGGCCCTCCAGCAGTGGTGAACATTGCCCTGCCCCCACCCCCTGGGATCG